ATTGGCTATTGTTTACAGGCTGTCTGTCATAGAAAGCTCATATAGAAAAAGTAAGGTGTGCAAATGGGTAATTCTAAATTCATATTGATCCCTAATTTTAATCTTTCGATTTCCCAACTTTCCCCTGAGTGAATTTTTCTAAACTTTTTATATGTGAGTTACTAATAGCTTATCTACAAATCTGCATTAAAATATATTCTGTTGCAATTAGTTCTCATTTTTCAGTAGAATGACTAGACTATTATACATGTTATACTGAAGAGAAAATCAAAAATGCATCAGTCCACTGCTGTACATTTGTAATTTTAACTGTAACCCATTTCGGTTCAATTACTACTTGACCATTAGAGACTGTTAGTGTTTGCTTATCAACCATCGGGACCGGATTGAATAGAAGCTGTCCTACATGTAAATCAATGTATTTGCCCTTAACATTTTTGTTTGATTTATTCTGTAGCATTTGCCCCCAAACTATCGCATATCATCGATCTCATTACCTGTTGTATCAACATGATTGGCAGTCTGTACATTGACATCAGATTCATTGCTGGGACTAGTGGAAAAAGTAACCACACTTGTAGTAACCATGGTAACAATAACGGCTGTACAGGGATGTTCTGTAAATTCGACTGATCCCACTTTTTGGTTTAGGCCCACTCGTAGGTGCTGATTTCCGCTTCGCCGGCTTGGCAGCGGGTTTAAGTCTAGGCATTTTCTGAAACTACCGACTTCGGAATAAGAAATGCAATATAGAAATAGGCCTAATAATAAAGTTATTATTTATTATTATTTTTCAATATTGACTTATCGTTACGACTTAGACAATTTTGTTAATAAAATCATTATTATTATATTTTGGTCAAATGTTGACTAAGCGTTACGACTTTTCTGTTTTATATTACGCATGTGGTTTTTCAAAATCAAAAACATCCGAAAAGTCATGTACATAATGATGCAAATACACACGAAAATAAAATTTGCTGGAAATATTCTCCTTAAATTTCAAGCATAACATGAATTTTTTAACACAATGTAAAATAAATAAACAATTTTTTATCTTGAGATGCAGGATATGTCTGCTCCCCTTCATTCGAATACGGAAAAGGAAGTCCTGAGGATTTGACTAAAATACCGAAAGTTGAAAGAACGGGGAAATACTAATAACCCAATAACCCCGAATATGGGTCTCTCTAATAACGCGATTTAATTATCAGCAATTAAATCGAAATATTGTTAATTTCAACTGTTTGGAAATTGATATAAATTTAAGGATTTTTGAATAAGTATGTTTAGTGAACTACAACAAAATGGATTTTTTTTAACCAATCTAATGCCGGTTATTGACTTTTGGCTATTTTATTATTTTTTTTCTGTTATCAATACGCCAACTAATTCCTTCATACATAGTTAATCAAAAGCTATAATTATGGTTGAATTCTTTTAGAAATAATAATAAAAACATAATCGTAATATATTGGATCTGAAATGTTTTTTGTTGGATATGATTTTATCCATCGAGTTGTGATTTTTATCCCCGAGCCTTATACCTAGGTCACATTTAAGCCGATGGTCGGGCGACTAATTTTTTCTGGTCTTGTCGGCTGATAGAACATGATCGGCCGATACAGTATCGGGCGACACTGAGCAGTCACATTAAATTCGTAGGGACACCGATGACTCGGATAAATAACACAAAAAATCTTTTTTTCTTTAGAATTCAGCAATATTTTTTCATAGATCTATATTCAGATAGGTGACGTGAGTTATGTTTGCAAGGCAAAGTGGTAAAATCATAAAAAAATTGTGACTCAATGTTGAAAATATGTGCAAAATTTGTAGGGAATTGCATAAAAACGACAAATGGTGCATATCTAAGCAGCAAAGAATACTTAAGATCTCTTAATATCTTACGGATTAATTATTCCTCCTATAGACAGATTTTTTTATCCCACTTAAAACGTATTCCAAGCTTTCAAGTCGTGTTTGTTCACGGTAGAATTGTCATAAATATTATATTATTCTCAAATGTGCATTAAGTTTACAAAAAGTTTGTTCTAAAAAATCTTTTGAGCAAAAAACTTAAAAACCACGTGTTTTATTTATTCGCTCATGGGTTTGTCTAAATGCTGTTATCTGATTGGTCAGAAGGATTAGCGCCTTGTTTATTCTGTGTATTAATAGCAATTCACGGTTATCGTTCTTGACTTCCTTATTTAGAAATCGTCCAGACCTGTTTACCCTATGTTATAAACATCACAGTAATTGGATTTTTTTTTTTTTTTTTTTTTTTTTTTTACAGTTTTTATATAGGAACCCTCTTTATATTACTTTATCACTCCCATGCAAAACCCGTTGTGACGTCGCTACTGCGGGATATGAAAAAATCTAATGAGTGGTATCCATGGAATAAAGCTAAGAGGTTAATGTAGGAACATGTAGACATAGGATAAAAATGTTTCGCCTTGTTTTCTTCATTTTAAACATATTTTAAAACAATTTTATTTTAAAATATTTTTGAAAGTTTCCATTAGTATTTTTCAGACAGCTTTTAGATCAATTATGCCAAGATCTGATTTTTTACGAGCTTCCTTATAATTAGTTTTAGCTCACCTGAGCCGAAGGCTTAAGTGAGCTTTCCTGATCAAAATTTGTCCGTTGTCTGTCGTTGTTGTTGTCGTTGTCGTCGTAAACTTTTCACATTTTCATTTTCTACTCAAGAACCACTGGGTCAATTTCGACCAAACTTCCCAAAAAGTATCCTGGGGTGAAGGGGATTCAAGTTTGTTCAACCTGGTTACAACCTCAGTTAGAGTTAATTCAAGTTTTTTGTATGTAATGACCCGGAGGACAAGGTGGGGCTGTGATGAGCAATCAAATCTTTACATAGAAATATATAAGAAAAATCTTCAAAACTCTTCTTTTCAAGTATGGCGAAATTATACATGTATGCTATATTGATATAGTGACATTCTCAAGTAATAAAAAATTCAACCCCCCCTCCCCCAACAAGTAAACTTTTAAATACTAAGCTGAACTAGCCCATGTGCTTAGGTGAGCGATGTGGTCCATGGGCCTCTTGTACTATTTTACCTTTTCTCCTTCTTCTCTGATTTGTTTTGTTTGTAATTAATTTTACATACGATGTTTTCTAGCATCTGAGCCATACTCGTATGCATTTTTTATGATTTAATGATATAAAAATTTGGGTTTATTTCTTATCACCAGGATTTCCTTGCCCACATAAGGAAATTTCCCTGTATATGAAAAAAATTGAGAAGTTATACTATTATGTAAATGTAGAATTTAAACTGTTTTTTCTCTTGTTTTCTTCAAAATCTCTACTTCATCAAATCTTCAGCTGCACATATGGGGCAAAGATATTGATTGTAATAAATGTTTATAATAGTTTACGTACTAGGTGTTTATAGTACATGTAATATACACATCATATACATTTAATACAAGCATTATACTGATTTGTAAAAACCCAAGGTCTGTTTCAGTTAGTCACTATTATTTGATCGGCATTTTTGCTCCAAAATCTGATATAAACTTATTCTGTATCCCCCCAAAAAACAAAAACATTTACAAATCATGATTCTTTAAAAACAATTCTGTGATGAGTTTCTAATTGGATTGTACATGTATTTTTTCTTTGTTTAAGTAAATTAGTATCTATCATGTATTACTTGATTAAATTGGTCAATTTTTTCCCAAAAAATAGTGAATGAAATATATATAAAATAGTAAATAGTAATAGTGAATATTGAATAAAATATATATAAAATAGTAAAATTGACCAGCAGTAAAAAAAAAAAACAACAAACCAAGAAAAGAAATGGAATAGATGGCTTTTATACAGTTTTATTGTTGAAAACAATGAGTGATACGAAATTAAGCTGTGGAATATTTTAAATCTTGCATTTATGCAAGCAACGACTCATCTTTAAATTAAAAGAGTATTTTATCAAAGACAAATTAAGGAGCATGTATGTTTCAAAAATGTTAATAAAATTTTGAAAAATTGTGGCATTCTAGTTCTTGATCAAGTATCCTCGGTTTCTTTTATAAACTAAAAACTTTGCTAAGTGAAACAACGATCTTTAATTTAATGATTAGTCTTTTTAATATTTTTTTTAAGTTCAAGCAGAGTAAAAGTTTTTATTGTTAAATTTATACTAGTGACCCCCTTTTCTTGTCAACACATTTCAGTTATATATCCTCATCTTTATATACATTTTATTCAATTCATCCTGTGAAATAAAAGAATTGTGGTAAAGTATAGGTTAGTATTTAATTATTTTGATTTAATTACATGTATGTACACTTAAAGATGGCAATGATCTTTTGTTTTCATTTGCTAGCAATATTTACACGATATTTAGATTTTCATTATAAAGTACATAAAACGGTTTTTCATTGAAGATAATTAAGATATGATTTATTGTTACTGTCATAAAATCGAACACGTCTTTGTCTTTTAGTAAATGTAGTACATGGAATACGTATATGAAGATAACCGTAACGAACAGTATTTAAGTTCAAAAGTCCATAAGACAATACAAAACAGGAACAGAGAAAACGTCAGAGGTATGATAAAGCAAATATTGTCTGAAGATGATATTTATTTCAAAATGTAGACCTGAGAAATCATCAGTATAAAATTTACTGAGTTTTAAGATAAGTAATTATAATAATTTATAATAATCATATCAACAAGTTGAATAAACAAAACAAACAAAAAAGTCTCAGTATATATTCATAAAGAGCATGCTTTTCTTACTTAAACATGATAAACAAGATGCGTTTTTGAAACACTGATACCCTCGTATGTCAGCTTATAGTAAGCATTGAAATTTCCTTCTCAAACGCAAGTCAAATTCTAAGATCAGAAATTGCTGCAGGTACCCAAACGGTCTTGTAATAAGGAATAAACCTCTGAAAGATCTAGTTTTTGACTGTTCAAAATTTATGGCCAAAGATTTTTTGAAAGTAGGTACACTGTAACACGTTGAAAGGTCCAAAACATCTATACGTATTGAAGGGCTTGTCAAAATAAATAAACAGGTAAGGTTTGGAAGCCCTAGTACCAAAATTATGGCCAAGGTGTAAGTTAGGTAATTTTGTGTAAAAGTGGGTTAAAAGTCTAAGCCCAAGAGGTCAAATTTGGTCAAGAAAGGCCCTGTCAAAAGGAATGCAGCTCTGAAATATGAAAGTCATAGCCTCGTTCACTTAAAAGTTATGGGCAAGGTTTTAACGGGCAAACAGACAAAACAGATGGATGGAGAGGACAAAAATTATATACCCCGAATCTTCAATGATAAATTCATAAATTGTAAATTTTAAGACTTAATAAAGATGGTATGTTTTTCTAATTAGATGATATAAATTGGTTGCTGTGAAGAGATTCTGTATAGATTCACACTTCCATCCTTCGTTTCAAAATCCATAAATGCTGCCAGGAACATTTTCATACAGAAAATGTATAATTGTAGATTCAGTGTGATATCAACTAGTTTTCTGTAAAATTCACATAAAAAGTATTTTAAAAAATATTACTCAACACTATAACGCTGTTTTCAACTTAAAGTAATTAATTATTTATCTAGATCAATGTAATTGCTACATGTAGAAAAGATGAATTTCTGGTTTGAAATGCAATTAGTAGCTTCCATATCACATGTAGTTTTAAGATTAACAAAATACCTGTTAATGAGAGATATTCTAGGATTGATCCTAACACCATGACAATAATCAGATGGTGAATGTCAAGGGTAACATATTTTTCTGAACCATTCCCGATCACTAAAAAATGGGAAAAAATCCCCTTTTAAGAAATGTCCGCTCATTGGTTCATTTTACATTATTTTGGCATTTTAATACTAACATGGACAGGCCTGTGTCTCCGTGACTTGTATCTTTTCTTTTTGTTCTAAAAGACAACGTCCAATTATGCAGCTTTGCAGTGACCCTGAAATGAAATCATGAAATACAAACAGATAAATCTATAGGTCTTATTATTGTGTATATATATTAAAATGGAAAAATAAGATATCTCAGAATGCCTGATATTAGAAAGCTAAGAAATCTGAGATTTCTGACATTTTAATTTCAGATTCACTTTTATTTTGCAAAACATTTTTCATTTTGTTTTAAAACCAGCATTAAATTTTTGTTTGGAGTTTACACAAAGGCCACAAGAGGGTGCGGAAGAAGGACATTTTTTTGAATTTCCCCAATCTAGCTGTATTTCCATGTTAAATTCGGAAATTGACCCATTTTCTGACCTTTCTGTGACCTATGTGTATCCCTTAACTTAGAGAACATATACTCAATTTGTTGCAGAAAAAAAATTGGTTTTTATTCATAAACTGTTGCATCATTTTAAAAGACATCCAAAATCAGAGGTAGCGTAGGGATCTAAGTTTATCTTGTCCTTTATTACTTTTTGTTATGCAAAAATTGTAGAAACTTACCTAATGTGTTTTGATCAATTTTGCAATCAATATTGATATCTTTAGCTGAATAAGTACATTTTGAGTTCTTCTTATGTTCCAATTTCAACACGATATCAGCAGCGTATTTGATTTGTACTCTCACATAATTGTCCTCTGCTGCAGAGTTTATTATTGAACATTCTGGGGAACATTTCTCTAGATTGCTTAACGAAGCATTCACTGTTAACAAGAAAAATCATGAGAAAATAATACCCGAAAATATCCATATATTTTTTAAACGCGGATTTTACTTTTTTCGAATTAATAACAATATAATGAACAATTATAAAGATTTTGTGTCAACCCTACATGTAATTTACCTGAAGAACTGGACAAACAAGTCGAATTATTAATTAATTGATGGTATAGGTCTGCTGCTTTGCGGATACAATCCCTAAAATAAAAAAAAATTGCAAAAATAAAAATGTTTATTTTCAGGACAAGGAAAATCAAATATCTATAAAAAGAATGTACATTCATAGTTTATTTAATTTATGATAACACGTGCACATATAATTTACTCTAACTAAACTTAATTCATTTTTCTCCTCGTGTTTAATCGTTTAGATATCAATTGCAACCACCACCTGCATCAGCAAAACAAAGATACCAAGAAAACCATATAAAGTCAATGCCATTGTATAGTTTCCTTATATCCAACCCCTTTAAATGTATTGTAACGTTGCAATAGAGTAATAAATGTTACTAAAAAAGTTCCCAAAATTTGTTAAAAATGTATTTTTAAGGTAGAATATACAAATTAACCATACTGTTCAGTAAACAAAATGCATAATCGCTGTCTTGGAAAAGTAATGTCTACAGCTGAAAAGGATTGTCCGCCATAATTGTTTAGTCAATTGCTATATCTAAGGGCTACTATATAAACCGCTCAATTAATCACTATTCAGTTGTCATCAGTGAAGACGGACGGGTGTTACAAAGCACTCGGTAGCGAAAAATAACTGTCTACTTCCAAAGAAGGAAAGATAGATATAAAAAAAACCCAGCTTACAACAGTTGCTCAGATCAGTGTAGCCCAAACAAAAAATACTGTAGTTAACTATAGTTTACTATAGTTATATAACTATAGTTAATTGTAATTAAAACTATATTGTTAACTATAGTGAATCAAATCGTCAAAGTTATCACTACAGTAAATAAAAGTTTTCAAATGTTTTACCAATGTAAACTATAGTAAACTATAGTATTGTTATGGTAGGGAGTTCAAAAGATACAAATAGACGTGAGTGCAATAAACTGTAAACATAAATAATGTAAGAAAACCAGCACGACCACGTGTCGCCAATCATCACCGAAACCATAGCCAAAATATTGTTTATGTGTGTATGATAAATTTTACCTGAAATACAACTGTGCCGTGCAGACAAAAAATAAAAAATAAAATTACTAAACAGGAAATTTGTAAAAGATGTTTTATATTTTACCTTTTATCAAGTCATCTAATTTAAAATACAGAATTATATGATATTTATTACCCCCCCCCTTTCTCCATTTTTGGGATATCCAAGGCCAATGTTAGCTTTAAAGCAATCAAAAATGTAGTGAAATATGTATATACACTGTAATTAACCAAGCAGGGGTCCCAATGTGCGTTATCTAGGCATATGTTTTATGTGTTGTCAGTTGACACAATTCTAGTTTTAACAACAGAATTACTTATCAAGTGGAGGACATTTTCAATTGGCACTTTGTCAATTTTATTTTAATATCCCTAAAGAGTATGACTGAGGTGACTGATATAGATGGCCGTGTTATTTGTTAATGACTTCTGCTCTAACTGAAACAATACGATATTTACATTTATTTATCATTCATCGTCATATGAATGTACGTTAGGAAGACAGTTGAAATCCAGGATGTGAAAACTACACCTCATGACTTATTTGTAAAAATTATACTTTAAACGGTGACGTGCTATAATTTATCATCAATTGTGATTATTTAAGGGTCTGTTCCTGATTTGTACTGTTTCAATAAATTTTTAAGTCTGATACACTATTTGTTATCTACATATTCAATCATTTTTTGAAAAATGGAAAGTTTTAAAAGTGATCTTTTTCCTAAAAATACCACAAGTATTTTTTTACCCAAATGATATAAAAAGTGTGGAAATAATTTCATTTTTTTGTTCCCTTTATAAAAAACGCGATTAGATTTTAAGATTAAATAACTTTCAAGACAGGTATTGAAACTGATAAAATTTCTTTAAAATTATTGTTTAAAAATATACGGTTACAGATTCAGTTCTCTAAAAATCACTAAGCGGATAATGTCAGGGAACTTTGATTTTAAGGCACAAGATAAATAACGTCACGTTTCTGCATACTACGTCATTAGTTTCAGAGAATGGTGATTTGAATTCAGAAAACCACACTGTGGATGTCCGAAAAGTCGGATCATGATGTAACGTTATTGTAATAAATCAATAGTAAAATTGAGTGATGGACAGTTGGGTATATAATGAATATATGTCACTGTAACAGTCACTTGATCCAAAGTCGTATTACGTCGAGTTGACAGGTGCAGATCATCAGATCAATCAAGACAGGAAGCGTCGAGTTTGATCTAATGATCCGAGCCAATCAACGAGACGTGATGCTGCTCTTCAGATAGAGTTACTGTTATAATGATAAAGATTTATTATATACCCCCTTAAAACTAGCTAAATATGGTAAAATAAAACTTAAGAGATCAATGTTATAATATTTATGCACAAAGCAAAGCATATTGTCAAGGACCTTTTTAATGCACAAGAAAAGAAACGTCATGTTTCTGCGTGCTATGTCATCAATTTCAGAGAGTGGTGATAAGGATTCAGAAAACCACAGTGTAGTGATCCGGAAAATTAAATTAAACTCTGTGGAATATAGTGTATAAAGATATATCGGGATTTAATTCATAATTCACAATTTTCTCCTTTTTCTTTTCGCCTAGTTCTTCATATATTTTTTATATGCTTTCTAATACAGCTGAAAGTATATTTTACTTATATCTTTATAAATGTATTTTATACATCTCTCGGAAACAAGAAAATTACTTTCCCATCTCTTCAGTTTCCTGACACAAGTTTCTATTTTTTAAAGATATATTCTAGAATTTTACTTTATTGTCGCATTGAGTCATGGCAAAGAATGTTTAAATAAAGTCTTTATATTTGTATAAAATGAAATTTTACGAGGATTTTCTGTTTTTCAAAAAGTAATATTTCCCATACAAAATAAAACAAATAAAAAATGTTCGCTTATCTCCTCTGAAATAAATATAGAATTTCAATATTCAATTCACATGTAGCTAGTGCAACACCTGGCTTATTTTAATGTCTTATATATTTTCATTAAATAAACATGCATTTTAATACTTACGTTTCTCCATTGCAGCCTTTATGATAGAGTAGAACATACACATGTAAAAAGGCGGAAATGAACCTCAGCACATCTAACAAAGACACAATTAATAAAACAATGACCACATATGTATAGGAAACATACAAATCAACATATCCTTAAATCTCTGTTTCTTTTGTTCGATAAACTACATGTCCAACCTTTGACATGATCGATGCCACTCTTAATGAATGATTGAAATTCATGTTTTTTGTTGAATCAACTTACCACTTTTTATCATCGTCTTTATAAATAAATAGAAAGGTCAAGTCCTTGATATATCTAGTTGACTTGTTGTTGTTTCATGTGAAAAGGAAGAAAAAATATAAATATTATATATATATGTAGTTAAGTGTTGTTTATGTGTATGGGTTTATGGAAATATCAGTATATTTTTTGAACTCCGGGAAAATCATTAAAAACATCCACCCACATAAAAAAATATAATATTTAATGATATATGTAAATATAAATAATATTTGAAATATTACATAAAACGTTTAAGATTCATTTAACGAGGCCGAGTCTAATTATTTTTGCCCTAGGGATTTTATTAATTTTTTTGATAATTAATTTTTACTGTAATATTTATTGTTTTAGGATTAAAAAATCGAATGTTTACCACCCCAATTTCTTAGGGGGCCATCTCAAATGTTGTCAAACTTTAATATTGGACCCTATGGGAATTTGTTGGAAAATCGCCAAATTATGATATTTATTCAATATTTTTTGTACTTCTGCCCTAGGGATTTCTTTTTTATTCAAGTAAATGAAAGTTAATGTAAAAAGTAACCATATTGAGCTATTTCAAAGAAGTTCATCATCTCGATTGGTCTGGGCAGTTATTACTAAGTTTATTTTTTCGAAGCCAAATACCACTAAAATTGACGGTGTGTTCCCGTTTTGCACACATTTGTAATTAGGTATAGAACAATAGGTGTGAAGTGTGTTTTTATAGCAATTATAGTCTGATTTTTGGTTTGGATTTACCTGGATTTACCTGTGAATACCTGATTTAGCTTAATGTATTCTTAAGGGGTTTAATACAATTTTATAAACATTTTATTAAGATTTTATATATATTTATGGGAAAATATATGATTTTATTGAATACAATATTAATATTTATTTAATATTATATATTAATTAAGTACATTTTCTTTAAAAAAAAAAATTCAGTCTTGATAGCTGTGAAGGCTTGATAAAATTCTAAATGAATTCAAGATGTAACAAATAGTACAGAAATTTTGTGTCTTTCCATGTTAGTAAATTTTTGATTATTATATTAATCTATGTTTTATCATCAAAGTGAATATATATTCAGTTGAACATGTATCAACATTTTGAACTATAAAAGAGAGGAAAAAATTCAGTTATCACATTCAAAAATATCATTATAATTCATTAACTTTGTATAGCCTTATTCTATAACTTTTTCAATATAAGTTTACCTTCCACATACTAACTAATCATGGTATACACTACAGGAATTAAGTAATTATCTCACCTGGTCAAATTCCCGTTTTCACACATTTTTTAATTACCTGTAATTAAAATGTGTGCAAAACGGGAACAAACCAAATTGACATATTACGGTACGAATTCATATCTTTGCAGATGAATTATCGGCGCATACAATTTTATTCGGCAAAAATAGCAATTTTTAAATTGCTAGTATGTTTCTTGGGAAGTTATGTCATCAGTTTTTAGTATAATATCCATGGAAGTCTTGAACATACAAGCGAGTCATGCGTCATTGCTAACAAAATCCGAAAATGTTGACGTTGTTAGAGCCATTTCAACGTTCTTTTTCCAATTATTGTCGTAAAATCACACTTTCAGATAAGCAGGAGTTACAAATAATGTTAATTTTGAATTAAAATTAAAATAATTTTCAAAGGTGTTCTGTCACACAAATAACTGCATGCAATTATGAAGCTGTGCAAAGTGATGCGCACTCGAATTAGACCCGGCGTCGTTAAGTGCAAAAATGTACGGTTCTAAAAGCAGATTATTCTTATAAATTATGCAATAATGAGAGTAAAAAAATTTCTTTATTTTTCTGAATCAAAGTACAAATTCTATTCTTTTAAAACATTTATTTTATGACAATTTATTTAAAGGGATAGTGTCTAGGTAAACATATGAAATAAAAAGATAAAATCATGTTACATATTAAATTTAAAAAAATACATACACTTCTTAATTTGATGGAAGAAGTGCGAAAAAAATGTCATAAACGGCACATGTTCCAAAACCAATTAGATGATCAAAGCCACATTTGATTGACTTTCGGCAGGAAAATATGAACATTCCATTAAATTGCAACATACGATTTCAAAACCTATATCGTTATTTTGCTTATGGGATTCCATTAAAAAAAACAAAGTAGTATATTTTCCCCATGTTGTGATTTAATTTGCTTTAAAATAAAATAGCATTGACTATATAAATAATCTGGTAAAAATTGTTACATTTAAAAAAATAAATATAAATTCTAAAGATTTGCTCGCTCTTTGTCATCTTTTTATAGTTTAAATGTTTTAAGTGGGTATTTTTCTTTTTTTTACAGAGATCCAAGTTTTTTTTTCATAAAAAAGGGTGGAGGAACCCAAAAGTAATAAAAGAGTTGTCTAGTTTTGTTCTTAGATTTTAAAAAATCGTTTCAAATAATTTAAGATCTCTTGATAAAAATATGAATTCTGAAAAATTTCGAACCTATAGGGAAACAAGCTCCTTTTACCTGTTTTTTAATTCAGAGAAAAATATCGTCATAAAGAACGATTCTAAGTACACCTGCGGGTAATAATATTACAAGTTGCTGTCCTTTAAAAAAGGACCGCAATACGTGGACCATGATTTTTCTAACTGAAATTCAATTAAGAAAATTTCTAGGTGTAGGGAATATTCATGTAGGTTTGTTCACTTTTTCTACAATGATCTGCATACTTATAACTGATTGTAGCCTCAAAGCAAAATTGTGAAATTTTATCTCCGATTAGCGACCTTTACAATGAAGCGCACTGAAGTGGTAAAATTTTCCGTTTGGATGGAACGTTTTGAGCTATATTTAAACACGCCCATTTCTTTAGAAAGGAAAAATCGGTCAAATGATTCAATCGAATACCTGTAGAACAAGTTCCATAAATATAATAGCCAATCAAATTGAGGGTCTACATAAACACCGAGTAAGCACGTGTTCGACTGATACATGCATTATGCTAACTCCAATACACATGATAAAATCATAATTATGTACAAATTCGTTTCAATGCGAGTTTTACAGAAGCGGGGACTCTATATGTAGCTCTTTCTTAATAAAAATCTTCATCTCAGTGTAACTCATGTTGTTTGTCGTGGAAAGTGGGGTGTCCTAAAACATTAGACGAATATTTCTTTCTTATAATGGGCGTGTCGTTATGTTATAATTGACGTTCAAAACATGAATCAGAACATTTCATCCAAATGGAAAATTTTACCACTTCATTGCGCTTCATTGTAGTTTTGTTAGTTTAAAAAATCGGGTTATTGCTACGTGTAACTGATAATGACTTGGGCTGTTCTGGATTTATAAGGAAGAAATTTATCATGAAAATAGAGATCTGGTGGTTTACGAAAAGCACAGCTCTGTAGTACGCAGATTTTTTTGTCGCTGCCCCCCCCCTCCCCCACACATACATTAAAAGCCGTTGCTACAGACTTTTATCAAACGATATTTTGTTTGCTAAAACACTAAATTATTTTGCGAGCTTTGATGCACAAAACTAATGCCGGCGAAAACTTGCTCTATCTTTTAAAAGCTAGCCTATCTCTATTCGTTGAATAACGTTTTTCATTCAGATTGTTAAGTTACATGTATCTACATGTGTATATACTGTATAATTCTTAAGGTATCCATTGTACAAATGGGTAAAACTTTATGCATGGAAACCTTATGATTTTATGTTCTAAAATCAAAGTATGGGTCATGACAAATTAAAAAATTGGGTCATCACGGGCAACAACTCATTTAAGAAAGATAACTCTTGATGAAAACTAAAATCTAAGAAAAATCACAGATACTGGTATCTAAGATGTTTATTCCATTATAATGACACAAAAATGTTTTTTTAAATTGTAATCTTTATATAAATATAAAAATATAAAATATGTTCATTTTGTCATTTGCAACATGCTGTTACCATGGAACATTAACATTTATATTAAAGGGAAAAATTTATAAATACATTAGAAAATTCAAAACTTTTCCCTTAAATTATTTCACCCCCCCCCCTTTTTTAATACTTTTTTTAGTCAAAAATAATGAATATCATACTGTAAATATATTACATTTGGCTGTTTATTCTTTTTAGTGATTTTAGCAGAAACTTCCGTTAATTCAAGTACAATGCTAAATGTTTTGCAAATATACTCATTAATGGAGTTTTATGAAGAGACTTACTTTTACAATCGACGACTGACTTTTACAATTTATACATAGACTGACTCCGTTACTTAAAATGTAAAAGTCAGCTGTCGAATGTAAAAGTAAGTCTCTTCATAAAACTCCATTAATAAGAACATTAAGTTATCCGCTGAATCATATCTATGCTAACTTTTTCAATAATCAATTTCCGCCAAATATCGTACACGCTAAATATAAAACATGTACAGTAACTCAATGTACAAAATAGATTTATATAAAGAAAATGGTTTGAAATTCTGCAAATAATGTGAATTTATAATTATGTCTAGAATTTAAAAATGTACACAAAAGAATAAAAAAAATTTCCCAGAAATGCTGAGGTTAAAAATTGATAGCGACAGTAAATTGTATCAAAGCAGAGTGATAAACATTAGATACAGACTTTGAAAATGAATTTCAAGATTAAATGACACAATAAATAGTACTTGTGATATAAATGTAGATACTATAAGGACTCCGACAGTAATCTCATTAGGTATGTGTGATACTAGTAGATGATCGATAATACAGACCAACTTGTTTAGGTACAATTGATAAATACATGTGGTAGCAAAAAATTCATACAACTTTTGGACAAAATTTTGTAGAACTTTAGACGTTCCAGTTACTCTAGGTATGCCATCACTGGTTTTGGGAGAAAACATAAATTAATTTATTTTCACCATCCCTGTCAGAGCTTTAGACCAGCTTTAGATGTGAAAATGTCATGGTCTCTGTCACACTCCTCTTCTAGCTGCAATAATAATGTAGCCCTCTCCGATTTTTTTTTTGGGGGGGGGGGGGGGAGAGGG